GTGCGGTAGGGGACAAGACGGTAGTAAGGCACCGACTCGTCGAAGGTGACGTCCTGGGAGGACAGAACATGTCGCGAGGTGGGGTGGTAAAACTGCCAACTAGGCGCGTCAGGGGGGAAGCCAAGGAAGACGCAGGGAACAGCATGGGGGGACAGCTTGTCCGAAGACAAGTCGCGGACAAACGCCCGAGATCCCCAGACCCGAAACACAGACGCATCGCCAACCTTCCCCGTCCACCGCAAGGTGGGGGAGGTCTCTGGCAAGGAGACCCGGGGCTGAAGGTTGAGCTGATGCGCTGCGTACTGAACCGCAAACGGCCACAGAAAATGGGGGGCAGCCGCATGCATCATGGACGTACGAGCGACGTCCATGACCATGCCAATGCGGCGCTCAGCAATCCCATTTTGCTGTGGAGAGGCCGGAAGCGTGAAGGTCTGGCGGATGCCCTGTGCACGACAGAAGGCTCCCACACGGGGAGAGGAAATTTTCCCGCCTCTGTCAGAGTGCAGACGCAGATTAGGAAAGTCCGAGCCGAAACTCTCTCTGAGCTGGAGACGAGCTGCGCGGATCCAGTTGATCAACACCTTAGTGACATCAGCCTTGCTGCGCAAGAGGAAGACCGTGGTGTAATGCGAGTAGTCGTCAACCACCAACAAGAAGTAACGCTCGTGACCTTGTTTACGGACGCGGGCGGGGCCCTACAAGTCCATGTGAATGTCAGAAAATATATTTTAATATTTTATATATGTAACTGCCTATAAGATTGGTTACTGTAGTTATAGCGTTTTCCTATTTGGTGGTGCACCTTTCTTGCTTGTTCTTTCATATTTGTACCCTTTAACCTATAGTGTGTCCCCCTTTTCTCTCGACACTTTTCCTTTCAACTCGAACTCACTAGCCATGGCTCCTAAGCCTTGCTAGAAACCTTTGACAGTGAAGAGTCTGCAGCGGAGCCTCTGTCGGAGGAAAATCAGAGGAGTGAGGTTCGGCGCGCTGTCGCCCCTCGACGCAGGGGACGCAGGTAGGGGCACGCCCCGGAGGTAGGGGAGGGAGAGACCGGGGGAGACCAGAGACAAGGACACGGGGGAGGCCATGCTTTGGAGACGAGGTAGGGAGGGGTGACCAAGACGGTGGTTCCAAAGGAGAGTCTGGTGAGACAGGAGACGACACGAGCAGGGAACAGACTCAGGACCGACGCTGCAGCAAACACCTGACTCGACGCAGCTACCTGGCTAGGCTAAGCAGCCGGAGGAGACTCAGTAGTAAGGGTGTACAGGCTCGATCCTGGCCGATGGGTGAACGTGGCCAAGTGTTGGCCTGTCCGAGCACACGTACAGTGGGTTACCCGCTGACTCGCAGGATTGAACTGGTTAACCCCTCGATCCTGTAGATCAGCACCTGTCACCAAGTTCGTAGAGACCTGAGAGGTTGCCACAGGGGGCTGCCGGACAGGTTAAGACAGTAGAGAAGCGAGCAAAGGACAGGACCCCTAGAGGGGTCCGCGAGGGAGACCGCAACCGGCCGACTGAGCGGCGTAAGAGTGGTGCGGTCTCGAAAGAAGGAGCGGGTAGCACCCGAGTCAAGAGTGAAGGTGTGTAAGGCCTGAGACAATGTGGTTCCTAAGAGAGTAGACTCACCAGCACCTGGGGCATCAGATGCACTAGCACCTAGAGCAGCAACCTCACCAGCACCTACAGCAGCAGCCTCAATGCCTGGGTCAGGCGGAACACACAGGTAACAGTCACCCTCATCACTAGTAGGCAATGCATACATGGTAGTGAGGATAACAACATAGTTAAGAGTATAGATATCTAGCTTCAGCCAAAGCAACTCCACCCAGTCGGGGAGCTCAGCCGCGTTCCCAAACTTCGTATGCCAGGCGTCGCTCAGACGGGTGAAGCAGCGGGATTGTGCGTGACCCAACGTCCCGCAAGTCCGACTAGTACGAGCACCAGTGCGAATGACGTACGGACAGCGAGCACTACCCCATGACCTGTCACGCTGAGCGTACCAGTCACGAAGCTGCCGGGGCGAAAGGACCGCTCGTGGACGACGCTGAAGCTGCACCTGGCCACTACAAGATGCTGCTGATCTACTCACTCCAGGACGACTCCCACTATGGCCACACCGACAACCCCAAGTAGCGTACCACTCACGAAGCTGTTGGGGGGTGAGGGACTCTCGCGGGCGACTCTGCAGCTGCACGTGGCCACTATAAGCAGCTGTGGAACTACTCACTCCAGGACGACTCCCACTAAGGCCACCCCGACAACCCGAACGAGCGTACCACGCACTAAGATGTTGGGGGGTGAGGGACTCACGCGGGCGACGCTGGAGCTACATCTGGCTATGCCACGAGCACCAGTAGTAGTAGAAAGAGCAGCAGCAGTAAGAGCAGCAGTAACAGGATTACAGGCAGGGCAGTGCTCACTAATGGCGAGAAGGGTAGGCGTACGACGGCGGCAACGGCGAGACCGCTACCACTGTAGAGCGAGAGCTCCGCGGTAGCTGCAGGGGTGGCTGCTCCAGGGGCGGCAGTTGTAGGGGCGGCTGCTCCAGGGGCGGCTGCTCAAGGGGCAGCTGCTGCAGTGGCGGCTGCTCCGGAGGCGGCTGCTACAGTGGCGGCTGCTGAAGGGGCGGCTGCTGCAGTGGCGGCTGCTCCAGGGGCGGCTGGTGCAGTGGCGGCTGCTCCAGGGGCGGCTAGTGCAGTGGCGGCTGCTCCAGGGGCGGCTCGTCTGCTGGGCGACTCGGCACCTCAACTGCTGGGCGGCTCGGCGGCTCGGCGGCTCGGCTGCTCGCTAGGGGCGGCGACGGGGCCGGGTAGGGGCGGCGACGGGGCTGCTAGGGGCGGGGAGCGGCGACGGGGCGCTAGGGGCGGCGATGGGGCCGCGTAGGGAGGGGAGCGGTGACGGGGCTGCTAGGGGCGGCGACGGGGCCGCGTAGGTAGGGAGGCGATGACGGGGCCGCCGAGGGCGGCGATGGGGCCGCGTAGGGGCGGCGACGGGGCTACGTAGGGAGGGAGGCGGCGACGGGGCCGCTAGGGGCGGGGACGGGGCCGCGTAGGGGCGGCTATGAGGCCGCGTAGGGGTGGCGACGGGGCCGCTTAGGGAGGGAGGCGGCGGCGGGGCCGCCAAGGGTGGCGACAGGGCCGCGTAGGGGTGGCGACGGGGCCGCGTAGGGAGGGGAGCGGCGACGGGGCCGCTAGGGTCGGTGACGGGGCCGCGTAGGGGCGGCGACGGGGCCGCGTAGGGAGGGGAGCGGCGACGGGGCCGCGTAGGGGCGGCGACGGGGCCGCTAGGGGCGGCGATGGGGCCGCGTAGGGGCGGCGACGGGGCCGCGTAGGGGCGGCGACGGGGCCGCGTAGGGAGGGGAGCGGCTACGGGGCCGCTAGGGGCGGCGACGCGGCCGTGTAGGGGCAGCGACGGGGCCACTAGGGGCGGCGTTGGGGCCGCGTAGGGGCGACAACGGGGCTGCATAGGGAGGGAGGCGGTAACGGGGCCGCTAGGGGTGGCAACAGGGCCGCTAGGGGCGGCGACGGGACCGCGTAGGGGCGGCAACGGGGCCGCTAGGGGCTGCGAGGGGCCCGGAAGGGCGGGGACGGGGCCGCTAGGGGCGGCGACGAAGCCGCTAAGGGTGGCGCGAGGGGCAGTGAGAGGGGCCTCTAAGAGAGCCCGATAGAAGGGCGGCCCAGAAGGCGCGCCTCGGGCAGGAGCGACTGTCGCTCTGGCCAGAAAAAAAAAGGTTTTAGTGGTGGGCCCAAGGAAGCGTTCCCACTAGGGAGCCTGCTCTATACCGTGTGAAGAAATGAGGAATGTATGAACTAGCAAGCAGGTGGGTACAAGTAGGAAAACCTAGAAGTGTTGTACCCCATATTCTCTACCCCACTATGGCCTACACAGACTATAGCATAAGAGTTTGACATGTGCGGGTTTACGCAATTGACCACACCCAGCCGAATAAGGAGGGCACCGCGGTAAATAGCCCCATACTGCTTAGTGGGAGATTTGGGACAGATTTAGTTAAAATATTCGTAGACGGGGGAGCTAGCCACAGCCTCATCAACATTACCACAACATGAAAAATTAAGCTTCCACTGGACAGGTGTTTACCTGAGATTGCCACACGACTGGTCGATGGCACGCCAATGGCGATACGGGAACGTGTGGACCGAGTTCGGATTCGATGCGGGGGTAACTTCACGTTTAGCCAGGAAATGCTCGCAATGACCCTCGACGGAACCGAAATTTTACTCGGCCGTGATTGGCCGCGACGACACAATCCGCGAATCGAATGGACGACAGGTGATTGCACTGTGCGAGTGAACGGTAACTACAGTCGGAAAATATAATTTAATATTTTCTATATGTAACTGCCTGTAAGATTGGTTACTGTAGTTATAGCGTTTTCCTATTTGGTGGTGCACCTTTCTTGCTTGTTCTCTCATATTTGTACCCTTGAACCTATAGTGAAACCCCTCTTTCTCTCGACATTTCTCCTCCAACTCGAACTCAACTTCCTACCTCACTAGCTATGGCTCCTAAGCCTTACTAGAAACCTTGACATGGTATCAGAGCACTAAGGTCCTGACCTATGGGCCCACCCCACAGCTTCCGCTGTTAATCTGTGTTCGGCACACCCCGTGGCGTGCCCCTTGCCCTACTTTTCTGCGGCCCCGTCGCCTACCTCGACCCCGGCCCCGTCGCCTCCTTGCGGCCTCTGGCCCCTGTCGCCTACCTGCGGCCCCTGGCCCCTGTCGCCTACCTGCGGCCCCGGCCTCGTCGCCTACTTGCGGCTCCGGCCTCGTCGCCTACCTACGGCCCCGTCGCCTACCTGCGGCCCCGTCGCCTACCTGCGGCCTCGTCGCCTACCTGCGGCCCCGACCACGTCACCTACCTACGGCCTCTGGCCCCTGTCGCCTACCTGCGGCCCCGCCACCTGAGGCCCCGTCGCCACCTGCGGCCCCGCCCACCCTTGCGGCCCCGTCGCCCACTTCGGCCCCGATGCCACGTACGGCCCCGCCCACTTGCGGCCCCGACCCCGCCCCGGCCATGCCCCGTCGCCAGCTGCGGCACACCGGGGGCACGTGCACCGCCCCCCCCCCCCCCCCTTTTTCCGTCACCCGTCGCGGCTCCTTCGGGGGCCGCACGCGGCCCCCTCAGGTCGCCTTGACAGGTGACGGGAGGGGCGACCTGGAAGGGGGGGGCCGGCGTCGCCCCCTCTGCCGCCTGCTTTGGCGCCCGGGGAGACCGTGCGTCGCCCCCCCCCCCCCCCCCCCCCCTCTCCTCCTCCTTTTGTTCCCACTGCTGCACCTGCCGCTGGGGGGGAGGGTGTGAGGGTGTGGGGGAGCCCGGGGAGTGGCACTGGGGTGGCGGGTGTGAGACCACCCAGCAGCCATCCCTCCACCTCTCCTCTCTTCCCCCCTCTGCTGATCCTGCAGTAATGTGTGGGGGAGGGGGAAGGGGAGGGGGAGGGGGAGGGTGGGAGGGTGTGAGGGTGTGGGGGAGCCAGGGGAGTGGTATTATTGAAACACTTTTCTCCTCCTGCGCAATCGTGATGTACCCCTTCAGAGGGCGCTAACTGCATACTCATCTCCTACAGCCAGTTATGGGGGCGTGTCGGAAAATATAATTTTATATTTTCTATATGTAACTGCCTGTAAGATTGGTTACTGTAGTTATAGCGTTTTCCTATTTGGTGGTGCACCTTTCTTGCTTGTTCTCTCATATTTGTACCCTTGAACCTATAGTGAAACCCCTCTTTCTCTCGACATTTCTCCTCCAACTCGAACTCAACTTCCTACCTCACTAGCTATGGCTCCTAAGCCTTACTAGAAACCTTGACAACTACATCGCCTTACCTCGCTGGGGCTTGCCTGAGTCTTCGTCGGTGTGTATTAATGCCATCATGATGAAACGCGCCGTAGCGGCAGGAGCTGACGTGTATGCAGTTGACATTTGGGAAGCCGAGGTAGCAAACAAGGGGAGTGATTTGCAAAAACTGCTCGCCGACGTACCGGATGATCTGGAAGGGTTACTGAAGCAGTACAGTGGAATTTTCCTCGACGACTTGCCAATAGTACTGCCACCGCAGCGACCGCACAACCAGAGGATAGAAATAGAACCGGGGGCACAACCAACAGTACAGCGATAGTTCCCACTGACCCAACCCGAGCTGGACGAACTGAGGAAGCAGCTGGATTACCTGCTCGATAAAGAATTCATTCGCCCGAGTTCGTCACCCTTCGCAGCACCGACATTGTCCACACCGAAAAGGGATGGGGGATTTTGCATGTGCATAGATTACCGCGCATTGAACCGAGTTACCATCAAGTCCCGTTACCCGATCCCTAGAGCCGACGAACCGATCAACGAACTGCGCACAACCAGGGGTTTTTAAAAATTTGACCTTCAAGGAGGCTACCACCAGATCCGCATCAACCCACCCAACTGTCCGAAAACAGCTTTCCGAACACGCTACAAATCGTTCGAATACACGGTAATGCCCTACGGACTGACCAACGCCCCCGCAACTTTTCGAATGACCATGAACGAAGCCTTCTGCCCGCTTTTAGATAAGTGCATCATCGTGTACTTAGACGACGTACTGATTTATAGCTCAAACAGAGCACAACACCTGCAGGACAATCGAAGCAAAAAGAAGAAGAAGAAGAAGAAGAAGAAGAAGAAGAAGAAGAAGAAGAAGAAGAAGAAGAAGAAGAAGAAGAAGAAGAAGAAGAAGAAGAAGAAGAAGAAGAAGAAGAAGAAGAAGGAGAAGAAGAAGAAGAAGAAGAAGAAGAAGAAGAAGAAGAAGAAGAAGAAGAAGAAGAAGAAGAAGAAGAAGAAGAAGAAGAAGAAGAAGAAGAAGAAGAAGAAGAAGAAGAAGAAGAAGAAGAAGAAGAAGAAGAAGAAGAAGAAGGAGAAGAAGAAGAAGAAGAAGAAGAAGAAGAAGAAGAAGAAGAAGAAGAAGAAGAAGAAGAAGAAGAAGAAGAAGAAGAAGAAGAAGAAGAAGAAGAAGAAGAAGAAGAAGAAGAAGAAGAAGAAGAAGAAGAAGAAAAAAGAACCGCCTACTAACCAGAGAATCAAAGTGTGAGTTCCTACATGGCCGATTGGATTTTTGGGACACATAATTTCAGCCCACAAAGTGGAAGTAGACCCGAAAAAATTTGCGACGATTCAGGCATGGCACACGCCGACCAACTTGACTAAGTTGCTGAGTTTTTTGGGGTTTGTCAACTGCGTGCGTCGCTTCGTCCTCGACATGGCGAAGCTAACTGCCCCTTTGACTGACCTGCTGAGGAAGAAGGTTGAGTATACGTGAGGGGAGAAAGAGCAAGCTGCCTTCTCGGCCGCCAAGAAAATTTTGTGTTCGCCGCCCTTACTGCACATCGCTGATCCACACCGCTCGTTCAAACTGGTCACCGACTTAAGCGGCATCGCCGTGGGAGCAGTACTGTTGCAGGACTTTGGGAACGGCCTTCAGCCAATTGTGTACGAGTCCCGCAAGCTTCACCCGCCCAAACGCAACTTCATGATACACGACCGCGAGATGCTGGCGATCGTGCACGCATTCAAGGTGTGGCGATGCTACCTCACCGGAGCAGACGTGGCAGTACGGATAGATCACAGGCCACGTACAAAAAAGGGGCATCGAATATCGCTTACGCTCTCACCCGCCCCACCACCCAACTTCACGCCACCCTACTCACCCAGACTAACCCACTGTTAACAGGCCTATTCACCCACGGATACCGCACCGACCCATTCTTCATGACTGGAAATTCACAGCAACTGGCAGAAGCGAAAGGAGTCCATTACGAAATATAGGCACCAACCGCATTTGGGTACCTGCGTACCCACTACTGAGGGAACTGCTACTACAAGAGGCACACGACGGGGTTACATCGGGTCAATCCGGGGTAGAAAAATCACGACAGCAACTGCAGCAGTATTACTACTGGCCAGAGCAATTGACCGACGTATAGCACAACGTGGGCTCGTGTTATATGTGTCTGTCAAACATTATATGTTTGTGTGGTTCTAGGCTGTAGTGGGTCACACCATAGGGGGTACACCAGTTTAGGGTTTCATATTTGTACTGTTGTTCTTGCTAGTCACACACATTCCTGTTTCTCATTCTGACATGGTATTACGAGCCTAGGTTCCACCTAGGACCGGAACGTTAGGGCCCACCGTTTCCGCTAGCCGCGCCCTCGTGCGCCGCCTTTTCCTCGCGCCCTCGTGCGCCTCGTTCCTAGTGTCGCCCCTTCAGGCCCCTCACGGCCCCTCGCGTCGCCCCTTACGGCCCCTCACGGCCCCGTTTTCACGGCCCCGCGCTAGCCCCTTACGGCCCCGCGCTAGCCTCTCACGGCCCCCTATGGCCCCGCGCTAGCCCCGAACGGCCCCGTGTAGCCCCGCGCTAGCCTCCCACGGCCCACCTACGGCCCCGCGCTAGCCTCCTACGGCCCCTATTGGCCCCGCGCTAGCCTCGAACGGCCCCGTGCGGCCCCCGCGCTAACCTCCCACGGCCCCGTAAGGCCCCGCGCTAGCCTCCCACGGCCCCTTCAGGCCCCGCGCTAGCCTCCCACGGCCCCTTAAGGCCCCGCGCTAGCCTCCTACGACCCCCACATGGACCCGCGCTAGCCCCTACGGCCCCCGAACGGCCCCTCCCGCGCTCGCCCCTCTACGGCCGAGCCGCACAGCGCGACCCCAGCTGCACCGCGCGACCCGAGCCGAACCGCGCGACCCAGCCGAGCCGCGCCGCCCCAGCCGAGCCGCGCCGCCCTAGCCGAGCCGCGCCGCCCTAGCCGAGCCGCGCCGTCCTAGCCGGGCCGCGCCCTCCTTACCTGAGCAGCAGCACCACTACTGCTACTGCTACTGCTACTACTACCGCTGCTGCTGCTGCTACTGCCACTGCTACTACTACTTCTGCTACTGCTACTTCAGCTATGGCTAGCCCTCCAGTTCTCTCGTTCGATGCTGAGGGCCGCCCGATTAAGTTTGAGACCTGGCTCGATGATCTGCACCTGTTCCTCCAGCTCACTGCCAGAGAGGATATCTCGCTGTACGATCACGCACTAGGCACAGTCCCTCCTCCTACTACTACTGCTGCTGCTACTGCTCGCTCACAGTGGCAGACTCGCGATGCCCACGCCCGCTTTGCTATTCGCAACTCCCTGCCAGTCGACGAGCGCGAGCACTTTGGCCAGCATCAGACTGCGCAGGCCCTGTACACTGCTGTAGTTGCGCGCTACTCCTCCCCGGCCTCAGCTGCACTAGGCCGCCTCTCGCTTCCCTACCTGTTCCCCGACCTGTCCGCCTTCCAGACAGTCGCTGACCTCATCACTCACCTCCGCACTAGTGATGCCCGCTTCCGTGCAGCCATGCCCGCTGAGTTTCTTGCCTCCAACCCTCCCCCGCTCTGGCTCACTCTCTACCACCTAGTCACCCGCCTCCCTGACACTCTACGTACACTCAGGGACCACTTCCTAGCTCGCTGCCCCACTGAGCTCACCATTACCGCCCTAGAGAAGGAACTACTTGCAGCTGAGAAGAGTATTGTAGCTGTAGGTACCTCTCGTGGCGACCCCCGCACCCCTTTCTTCGAGGGGTGTTCCCCCTCCCCCCTGCTCCCCTCTGTCGCCTCTGCTGCTGCTGTCGACCGCCTTGGTGCTGAGCAGGTCGGCTCTGCGTCCGCTCCCAGCGGGCGTCGCAGCGGCAAGGGCAGGGGAGGCAAGGGCGGTGGGGGTGACGGCGGGGGAGGCGGTGGTGGGGGTGGTGGCGGCGGTGGGGGTGGTGGCGGGGCTGGAGGGGCTAGTGGCAGCGGTGGGAGTGGTGGAGGCAGCGGCGGCGGCAGTGGCCGGGGTGGGGGCGGTGGTGGTGGCGGCAGTGGACGTGGAGGCGGCAGGGGCGGTGGTGAACGTGGTGGAGGCGGCGGTGGTGGTCGTGGAGGCTCTGGCACTGGCCAGAGCGCGCAGCACCCTCAGTCCTCCCAGGAGCTTCGTGAGTGGTACTTACAGCACGGGGGTGGGGGGGGGTAGCCTTAGCTGCACGTACGTCATCCGCACTGGTCGCCGCAAGGGACAGACGTGCGGGAGGGCGCACACTGCGCAGCGCTGCTTCTCTCGCCTAGATGACGCGTGGCGTGCTCAGTTTCCTGACGCTCCTGAGCTCCCTCAGTGGGCTGATCTCCTCAAGAAGGATATCGATATCTATGCTCTTGATTTTGATGTTATTCTCAAAGCCATGTATGCATTGACTATTAGTGGAGAGGAGGACCAGTACCTGTGTGTTCCGCCTGACCCAAGCATCCGCACGAGTGAGGCTGCAGCCCTAGGTGCTTGCGTGTCTGCTGCCCCAGGTGCTAGTGAGGCTACTGCTCTAGGTGCTTGTGTGTCCGCCACCCCAGGTACTACTGAGTCCACTGAGGCAGTGCACACCTTCACTCTAGACTCAGGCGCTTCGCGCTGTTTCTTTCGTGACCGCACTGCTCTTGAGCCCCTTGCTCGACCAGTCGCTGTCTCGCTCGCTGACCCCTCTGGGGGTCCGGTCATTGCGACCTCCTCCACTGTCCTTCCTTGTCCTGCTGTCCCGTCGGGCACACTGTCAGGTCTCCACCTCCCCTCGTTCTCTACGAACTTGGTGGCGGGTTGTGCGCTTCAGGATGGGGGTGTTCACCAGTTCACCCCTGCCTACGAGCGCGTGACACACTGCACGTGTGCTCGGACGGGCCGTCACCTGGCTACCTTCACTCGGCAGCCGGGGTCGGACCTGTACACACTGACCACTGAGTCCCCTCAGGTAGCGGCATCTGCGTCTGCGTCTGCGTCAGGTCAGCTGTCTGCCCCCTGCTCGTGTCGCTCTCTAGCGCACAAGACTGTCCTCTGGCACCACCGACTTGGTCACCCGTCAGTGCAGCGCCTTCGGGGCATGCACTCCCGGTACCTTGTCTCTGGTCTTCCTCGGGTACTCCCTCCCCTCCCACCCTCCCTTGCTCCTGCTTGTCTTCCCTGTGTCGAGGGGCGGCAGCGCGCTGCCCCTCACTCCTCCTCGTTCCCCCCGACGACAGCTCCTTTGCAGACGCTCCACATGGACGTGTGGGGCCCAGCCCGCGTTCGTGGTCAGGGCCAGGAGAGGTACTTCTTGATCGTCGTTGACGACTACTCGCGCTACACCACGGTCTTCCCCTTGCGCACCAAGGGTGAAGTCCCTGATGTCCTGATCCCTTGGATCAGCAGAGCACGTCTTCAGCTGCGAGAGCGTTTTCGCTCGGAGTTTCCTGTCCTGCGCTTGCACTCTGACAGAGGTGGTGAGTTCTCCTCCGACCTCTTGGCAGCCTACTGTGCCGAGCACGGCATTCGCCAGTCGTTCACGCTTCCGGCCTCTCCACAGCAGAATGGGGTTGCTGAGCGCCGCATTGGCTTGGTCATGGAGGTCGCTCGTACCTCCTTAGTCCACGCGGCTGCCCCCCACTTTCTGTGGCCGTTTGCGGTCCGGTACGCTGCGCATCAGCTCAACCTCTGGCCCCGTGTCTCCGCTCCGGAGACCTCGCCCACACTGTTGTGGACGGGGGAGGTTGGCGATGCGTCACGCTTCCGTGTCTGGGGATCCCGAGCTTTTGTTCGCAACACGTCTGCGGACAAGCTCTCCTCCCGCACTGCTCCCTGTGTCTTTCTTGGCTTTGTCCCGGATGCGTCTGGCTGGCAGTTTTACCACCCCGCCTCGCACCGCGTCTTCCCCTCTCAGGACGTTACTTTTGACGAGTCCGTGCCCTTCTACCGCCTCTTCCCCTACCGCACTGCCCCGCTCCCTCCCCCGCCTCTCTTCCTCGCGCCAGGTGCTGCAGTGGTAGACCCCCTTCCCCCTCAAGGTGCCGCTCCCTCAGGTGTCTCTCAGGTAGACCCGGTTGAGCCTGCCGAGGTAGCTGTCGACTCGCGTCCTGCTAGAGGTGCTGAGCCTGAGCGTGTGGAGCCTGAGCGTGCGGAGCCTGAGCGGGTGGAGCCTGGGGGTGCTGAGTCTGGGGGTGCTGAGACTGGGGGTGCTGAGCCTGGGGGTGCTGGGTCTGGGGGTACTGAGCCTGGCGTTGCTGAGTCT